TAGAAAAGAAAAAAAAAGAATTTGGAGGGGGAGGGAACTGAGGGTGGGTCTATGAGAAGATGGGGGAGTGAAAATGAATATGGACATTTTCAAATAATTAATAAAAATATTAATTTAAAAAAGAGGGAGATGCTAACAGGGAGTTGAAAAATTAGAGTCCTTCTTCTATGGGCATACCTGCTCAGATGCCAAGGAGCTCAGAAAGTAACTGACTGTGACTAGTAATAATCAGCTATATAGAGATTAGAAATGCATTTGCATCTTGTAGTCAATTGTATTAAAAATGAATTTTTCTGTATGAATCTATATTTTAATAATGAAATGGAGATCTTTTTTAAAGTTTAAAACCTCATGTTATTTTATGTCTTATAGTGGTTATATGGAGTATAATATTGTATAACTGTATCAATTCAACTGTAAACCTAAAAATTTACAGCCAATTTTGAAAGAGATGCATCTTAGGTCTGGAAATTGTTATTGAATATGTCAATGCAGTTGTAATGAAATGCTTCTTCTAATTATATGGTTATTAAATAAATAATTTTTTTAAAAAACTATAGTATTCAAGCCAGGTGTGGTGGTGCAGGCCTTGCCAGGCAGATCTCTTGTGAGTTCAAGGCCAGCCTGGTCTACATAGTGAGTTCCAGGACAGCTGGAGCTACAGGGAGACCTTGTTTCAAAAAGACTGAAAACAAAAACAAAAACAACAAAAAGCTATAGTATTCATACTATCTGCTTTGATCTTTCTTTTTATAAATTGCAGAGAATGCAAGATGGAGATTGAAAACAAGAAGCAAGAACTCATTGAAATCAATCAGGCACTGAAGGAGAGAAACTGGGAGTTAAAGCAGAGAGCCGCTCAGGTTGGCTTCTAGTTACATTTTCATGATGTTTTCAACACCATGGCACAATCATGCAAGTTTTAGGTCACTGGTTCTTTTCTGGATATAAATTTTTTTGTAGTTTTTTAGATAGTCTTTTGGTTCGGCTAGGTTGGCCTTGAGGTTATACGCCTCTTGCCTCAGCCTCTCAAGTGCTGGGAAGTGTGCCAGTGCCTGGCTGATGGGCTTTTGTGTATATGTGGTTCTGGAAACTGAAGAGAGAGGTAAGCTCTCTACCTCTGACTACTGTTGAGCCCAGCTCAACAGTGGGTTTTGAAAATGAGGCTTTGCTCAGGAGCTGAGCCTTTGGATTTCTTATCTTACTGTATATCAAAAGAAAATGGGTAAAACAAGTTACTCTGAGTTAACTGCTGGAGGAACAAAAACACCTAGAAGGCAGAGCAGTTCTTATTTTGACATAAAATGAAATCTGAATCACTTTATTTTATTTATACCTCATGTTTCCATAACATATGTATGGGATTCAAGTCCCGGTATGGGGTCAGCTTATCATTCATTTATACTGTATATAAAAAATTCAAAAGCATATTTCCAGCCATACAAGTTTTTACACTAGAATAAAACTGAGCAACAGTTTAATATTACTTTTTTATTTAGGTTACACATTTGGATATGACCATTTGTGAGCACAGAGGAGAAATGGAACAAAAAATAATTAAATTAGAGGGTACTCTGGAGAAATCAGAATTTGAAGTTAAAGAATGTAACAAACAGGTAATTATCCTAAAATTATATATTTTAAATTATTTAATAATTAACTCTATGACTGTACACCCATTCACACAATATATTTTTGTTGTTGTTTGTGATACTGGGTCTTGCTTTGTTGCCCAGGTTGGCCTTAAGTATCTGTGCTCAGTGATCCTGCTGCCTCAACCTCCTAAGTTGCTAGGTGTGCATCACTGTGCCTGGCTGCAGTATTTTTATAGAATACACGTGATGAAAACACTGCATAATTTCACTCATCCTGTACATTCTACATAATACTCATTTTTCTCCTCTACGATATTTTTAAAATATTATTTCTATTTTATGTGTATGAGTGTATTGCCCACATGTGTGTAAGTGTACTCATGTTATGCAAACTCTGTGGAGGTCAGAAGAGGGTGTTGGATTCTCCCAGAGTTAGCTGCCATGTGGGTGCTGGGACTCAAACCCAGGTCCTTCATAAGAGCAGTCAGTGCCCTTAACTGCTAAGCCATCTCTCCAGCCCCTCCTCAGTGTTATTTTGATTGCAATTTTTCTCTTGTACCACAGTATGTATATATGTCTCAATAGCTATATTATTTCTGGAAGTATTTACAATTAATCTAAAAGTCTCTGAGAAAAGAACATGTGGGAAAGAGATTTAGTATTGTCTATTTGTAATTTTTACCTCTTGCATATATTACCTTTAAAATTATTCATGAGGTCACGCTGCATTTGTTATATGTGCATTATCTAATGTACCTAACTTTTAATTTTCTTATGTAAATCATATTGAAACATTTGAGAATGGGAAGGAGATGCCAAAGAGTCACCCACAAGATAATCCCTGGAGCTCTAATAAGAAAGAGAATGGCATTTGTAGCCACAGGACAAATCCACTATTCTCACAACCTCAAATCCAGTTGGGGTATTTGACTCCTCACGTATGACAGGTCACCACTGAAGAACAAACCCATTTCTTGTCACTGTCCATACCTCTAAGTGCTATAGCCAGATGCCCTCTTCAGAAGAGGCCTATTATTTGGAATTGCTACTCTGGGGGCCTGAAAACAAGGAACAATCACAAACCAGGGAGCCTGAGGGCCTCAGTCTCTAAGTGGGAGATAGCCACATTAGGCAGTTATGGAGATGATGATTAGATGTGAACATGCTGAGAAGTGTAGGTGGTGAGAGGCTTGGACTATGAATAGTACCTTCATCCTACCTTCCTATACCAACCAGACTCCATCACCTAAGAGTGACTATGGAGAACAGTAACCCTCAGCCTGAGGTCAGCAGGTGGCTCTAACTCCAAGGGTTGCCTTTCTGCCATGTGGTTTTCCACTAGCAAGACTGAAAACTCTGAAGTCCAGATATAGTGGAAGCATGTTTTCCACAGCCTCTTCCCTTTGGCAGGGTGTTTAATGCTTAACAGGATTTGAAACTTGTTCTAGTCAAATACACTTGGGGAAAAAAACAAAAAACCTTGGTTTGAACATTAGCCACTCCAGGGTGTACAAACTGGGAAGTCTTTGGAGTCTGTGGACCTGCCTGGTCTATAAGCTGTAAAACTAAGTGTGGCCAGAAATGGCTTCTGGTATACAAAGAAAGGAAACCCCTAGAAGAAATGCAACCCTGTTGAACAACTGACTCTTGACTGGTCTGGGATCAGCATCAGTTTGAATAGTACCAAAGATAAGAGTCCAACTTCGACTACCTGTTTCTACCTGGACGATTATAATATTAGAGGACTGAGGAAAGAGAACTCCTCCAATATGTTGTCATTTTATTAAATGCTTTTTTTTTTGCTTCTGTGTTTCCCCTTTTTATTATTTATTATACATTTGATATTTCTATTTAGTTATAAAAATACCCCAACTTGTACATTTTTGCTTTTATTCTCTAATTTTGTTTCCACATTTTTACTGCATAATCAGGATGTTTATCGCTCATTTCTTCATCTTCCTATTTTCCTCGTTTCTTTTAATACAGCCTCTTTCTTCTTCCCTTTGTCCTACTTCCTTCCTATATTTTACTCAATTGTTATTTCTACATTTACTCAAATTCTTTTTATTAAAAAATTTTATGTGTATGAATGTTTTATCTATATGTATGTATGTGTACCACAAGTAATACCCATGGAGCCAGAAGAGGGTGTCACATCCCTTGGAAATGGAGTTACAGACAGTTGTTAGCTGCCATGTGGGTGCTGGAAACAGAACCCAGTCCTCTGCAAGAGCAGCAAAGCTCCTCTTAACCATTGAGCCATTTCTTAAGACCCTCTAATTAAGTCGATTAATTTATTTTTATGTGTATGAGTGTTATGTCTGCATGTTGTAAGTGCATGCGTGTTATGTAATACCTGTGGAAGTCAGGAGATGGCATTGGATCCCCTGGAACTGGAGTTATAGGCAGTTATTAGCTGCCATGTGCGTGCTGGGAATCGAACCTAGGTCTTCTGCAAGAGCAGCCAGTGCTCTTAACTGCTGAGCCCTTTCTATAGCCCTTCTAATTAAATTTTTAACTTCATAGCTTACTCTATATGATTTTTGCCATGTTGGGTTCATTGCTTATGAGTAGAAAAACAAATGGAACTGGAAATCATCATGTAAAGTAAAAGAAGCCAAAATCAGAAAACCAAGTATGCTTGTTTACTCTCATATATGAGATTGAGATTTTAAAGTGTATACATACATATGACATGAAAGTAGAAAAGAGATTATTTTGGAGAGGAAGTAGACAAACTGGAAGAGCCAAGGAGGTCAAGAGGCCACTATTAAAATGCTATAATAACCCATTATTTTGTATGCCCACTAAAAGATGTTAATAAATTGTGATTTAGATTTTTATTGTTTAGTGCATTTGAATGTACATATAATATGTAATCATCTTATTAAGCAGAATTGTTATGCTTATTTCTACATTATGTTTAATCTTAAGAAAAATACATTTTTATTGTTTGATATTAGGTGTTTCATTTGTTCTTATTTTTTGAGGCAGGGTCTTGCCATATAGACTAGACTAGCCTTGAACTTGTTATCCTCCTACCTCACCCTCCAAAATGCTGAGGATTTATAGGTATGTACCTCCATGTTCTGCCTACTTTTAGATATTTAGCTAAGTGTTTAAAGATTGACCTTCTTAGAACACAACTGTTATATTTTCTTAGCTCTGTTAATAATGCTCATCTCTTTAAAATTCAGATAGAAAGTTTAAATGAAAAATTACAAAATTCCAAAGAACAGCTTCGAGAAAAAGAGTTTATAATGCTACAAAATGAACAGGAGATAAGTCAACTGAAGAAGGAAACTGAAAGAACACAACAAAGGATCCAAGAAATGGAAAGTGTAAGCAAATTATTTCTTACATAAGAAACAAGTAATGAGCCGGGCGTGGTGGTGCACCCTTTAATCCCTGCACTTGGGAGGCAGAGGCAGGCAGATATCTGTGAGTTCGAGGCCAACCTGGTCTACATAGTGAGTTCCAGGCCAGCTGGGGCTACAGGGAGACCTTGTCTCAAAAAGACCAGAAAAAACAAACAAACAAAAAATTATCTTTTAATAAACATATATTGAATAAATCCAATTTGTCAACATTAACAGAAAAGAAACAAATTTAAGCAAAATTATTTTCTGATTATCAAGCAAGGAACTGTGAAAAGTTTCACATAACTCCACAGTATATGGTTATTTGGTCAGTAAATAGTCAATATAACTATGTTATATAGTAAAATTGAAGATACAGATATTTATTAAGTAGAGGAAATTGAGGTACTCCATCCAGAAAGTAGTCAGTCAAGTGATAACTGTATGCTATTGAAGCCAAGTGCACCATATAACCAGAGGAAGTTTGATGGTGACATCCGTTTCATGTGTGTAGATTGTTGAATCCATTTAACACCTCTTGTCTTTTTAAAAAGTAAATTTGCTTCTTTGAGTTCTAGTGGACACAACTTTCTCATTTTCAAAAACTCAGCTGTTAACAGTTTCAGAGATAGCCCCTTATTGTGTTTGACTGATTATCCAACTCTCCCTGTAGAGCACAAACTGTGTTAGGAAGGCACTTGGTCTCCATTTTTCATTCCTGTTTCTTGACCACCTTGAACTGTACATTATTACATAATAAACATGAATATTTATTTATTGAGTTAATTATAAACATAGATCAAATAGAGTCTTGGAGCAAATTTGAGCAGCAATGAGGTGGAAATGATTACTGGCCTTAGCAGGGAAAGACTAAAAATATTTACATATTTAATTATATTAATTTATATCCTGAGCTTCTATTCTAAATATCAAGGCCCTAGTAATTAGAACTGGCCTCTTTCCCTTTTCTTACTTGAAGTCAAGTGTCATTATCTACTGTCTATCCTGTCTCACTGTGCTGAATTAAAATTGATTTAATTTCTTTTAAGAAACAATACAAGTTGAGTATCCCTTATCCAAAAGATTTTTTTGTTTTGTATTCCTTTTATTTCATTTTTTTTAAGTTTAAAAATATTTTGTTTATTATTTTTATTTGTATATGTGTACTGCCTGCATGTGTGTAAATGCACCCATGTCTTGCAATGCCCACAGAGGTCAGAAGAGGGCCTCGGCGTCCCCTGGAACTGGAGTTATGAGAGTTGTTAGCCGCCATGTGGGTGCTGGGAACTGAACCTGTGTCCTCTACAGGAGCAGCAGTGCTCTTAATCACTGAGCCATCTCTCCAACCCTGCCCCCCAAGATTTTTAACTGGAATTATTTTGTATTTTGAGTTTCTTTGACTTTTGGCATATTTTTATGTTCAGAGTTACTTAAATTTGAATACAATCATGTTTCATACCATATATACATCATCTGAAGATAATTTTAGAGGCTATTTTTGATAATCTTATTATCAGAGTTTCATGATGTGGAATTTTCTACCTCTGTCATATTGATACTCAAAATATTTCTCTTTTTTTTTGGAGTATTTTAGGTTTCTAGATAAGGAATACTCAACCTGTACTTTACTAGGAATTTCACTGAGTATGTAAAAAAATTTGAGTCAATAATAGCCCCAGTGATTAGTTTCCCCTCCATAGAGAACAGAGTTTTGATCTTAACCCAACTGTGTAGATTAATGGTGAATTTTAATTCTCTATTCTGTGCCAATAATTTTGACACGTTTTCCACTGTGTAGCCCAGATAGTTTTGACATGGATAATCAAATGTTAGCTTATTTTTTATTGTCATAGTATTTTATATTGTTTCATGTCATACATGTCTTATGATAAAGGATTATATAACTTATGTATGTTAAAGTCTTGCCAAATATTTCAGTAAGAGTTTCAAAGCTAGGAGTGATGACACATACCTCCAATCTCAGCTCTCTGGAGGTTCAGGAATGAGGATTTCAAGTTCAAGGCCAGCCTGGGCTACTCAACATCCTTTAAGGACAGCCTGGGCCAGATAGCAAGACCTTATCTAAAAAAATAAAATAAAATTTTACTGTGGTGGTCCATACCTATGATCCTACTACTCAGAAGAGGCTGAGATAGGAAGACCACAAGTTTGAGGCCAGCCTGAGCAACTGAGTGAGACTCTCAAAGTACAAATTATTTTACATTTATTATTTTTTTTTAATGTTTTTATTTTATGTGTATGAGTGTACTGCCTGCATGTATGTGAGTGCACCTGTGTCATGCAGTGCTGTGGAGGTCAGAAGAGGGCTTCGGATTCCCCTGGAACTGGAGTTAAGGATAGTTTGTAGTTGCCATATGAGTGCTGGGAATCGAGCCCAGGTCATCTGCAAGAGCAGTCAGTGCTCTTAACCGCTGAGACATCTCTCCAGCCCCTTATTGATTATTTTTATTTTATATGTATGAGTGCATTGCCGGCATGCATGTAAGCGCACCTGAGTTCTGCAGTGCCCAATGAGATCAGAAGAGGACGTCAGATCCCATGGAACTGGAGTTATGGACGGTTGTTAGCTACAGTGTGGGTGCTGGGAACCAAACCCAGGTCATCTGCAAGAGCAGTCAGTGCTCTTAACCTTTGAGCCATCTCTCAAAATACAATTTTTTTTTAAAGAGTTGGGGATGTATCTCAGTGGCCAAGCACTTGTATAGCATGTATGAGACTCTGGGTTTAATCCACAGTATTGAGAAAGAATGTTCTAGGCTTACTGCCGTGTTCCTTTGTCATTAAAATTAGATTTTGTTTATTTGATTTGGGGGATTTTGGGGGGGGGGTTGTTTTTTTTTTTTTAATGTTTTGAGACAGGGTCTCCCTGTAGCCCCAGCTGTCCTGGAACTCATTGTGTAGACCAGGATGGCCTCAATCTCACAAAGATCAGCCTGCATTTGCCTCCTGAAAAGTTTTTTAAAAATATTAATTTTGGGGCTGGAGAGATGGCCCAGCCATTGCTTCTAGTAGAGGACCCAGGTTCAGTTCCCAGCACCCACATGGCAGCTAAGAACTGTCTGTAACTAGTTACAGGGGATCTGACACCCACTTCTGACCTCTGTGGGCACTGCACAACATGGATGCACTTACAGGCAGGCAATACACTCATACACATAAAATAATAAATAAAATATTTTTTAAAAGCAGTTAAAAGCACCTGGATTCGAATCCTAGCACCCACATGGCAGCTAACAACTGTCCCTAACTCCAGTCCCAGGTGATCTGACAGCCTCTTCTGTCCTCCAAAGGCATTGCACAATATGGGTGCACTCATCTACATGCAGGCAATATACGCATACACATAAAATAAAATATTTTTAAAAATATTAACTTCATAATAAGCAATACTCATTTTATGTTAAATTTTATACGGATGTAGTTGTAAGGGGGAAATTCACTTATTAAAAAAGAAAATAATAACTAGATAACTATATATTTCATTTTGAAACCCACTAATATCTTATGCTTTTCAGGTCATCAAAGAACAAGAGCAGTACATTGCTACTCAGTACAAGGAGGCCCTCGATTTGGGACGAGAATTGAGGCTAGCCCAGGAGCAAACTCAGAGCTCTCATTCAGAACTGGTAGAGGCTCGTCGCCAACAAGTCCAGGCACAGAGAGAAATAGAACAGCTCTCTAGTGAACTGGAGGATATAAAACTGCTCTCTAAAGAAAAGGTAATTTCTGTTCTAAATAATTTTAGAGTACTGAAAAATCTTAACATTTTTAACCGCTTTTGAGAAGAAGGCCCACAATGATGCTCACCACTAAATCACCAATATGTAGCCTTTTGTGTTATATTGTATATTTTTGCAATTTTTCACCTAAAAATAGTTAAATGGTAGAGTCAGGTGTGGTAGTCCACACCTATAATCCCAGCATTCAGTGGCTGAAGCAAAAGGATCTCCAGTTTCGGGGTAGCCTGGGCTACATCATGGGCTACTGTTTAAAAAATGGTTACTTTTTTGGAGGGGGTGGAGTCTTTTTGAGATGGGGTCTCCCTGTAGCTCCAGCTGTCCTGGAACTCACTATGTAGACCAGGCTGGCCTTGAACTCACAGAGATCCGCCTGCCTCTGCCTCCCGAGTGCTGGGATTAAAGGTGTGTGCCACCATGCCTGGCAAAAATACTTTTTTTAAAAAATGTTTTTTTATTTATTATTTTTATTTTATGTGTATGCATGTATTGCCTGCGTGTAGGTACATGCACTCATGTCGTGCAATCCCCACAGAAGACAGAAGAAAAATACTTACTTTTATGTTATGTCCATAGTACCACAATTTTATGAAGAAAAGGTTAACTGTATTATATTTAGATTTTAAATACTTTGTAATATAATCAGGAATTCCTTCCCAAATAAACTCTGGCTTCAATAAATTGAATTATTTAACACTTTTAGACTTTTGGGTGAGTTTGAGTCATCTTCTAAATAAAAACTGTCAAAATTTTTGACCGTTTTGAAACCTTTATGTTCAAAACCTTTCAGGAAGTCAGGTATTGTTAAAAATCAATAAAATCAATTTTATTTCCCCCCAAATTAGCAACTTGTTTTAAAATAAAATATTTATTATTTTTACGTGTATGAGTGTATTGCCTACATGTATGTAAGTGCACCTATGTCATACAGTCCCCACAGAGGTCAGAAGAGGGTGTTAGATCCCCTGGAACCAGAGTTACAGACAGTTGTTAGCCACCATGTGTGCTGGGAACCAAACCTGGGTCCTCTGCACAAGTAGCCAGTGCTCTTAACTGCTGAGCCATCTCTCTAGCCCCCAAACAACTCATTTTAAAAGTGTTTAGGTTGTGGGGCTGGAGTGATGGCTCAGCGGCTAAGAACACTGGCTGTTCTTGCAGAAGACCAGGGTTCGAATCCCAGCACCCACATGGCAGCTTAACAGCTGTCCGTAACTCTAGTTCCAGGGAATCTGATAGCCTCTTCTGTCCTCCACGTGCATTGCACGACACGGGTGCACTTACTTACATGCAGGCAATACACACATACACAGAAAATAAAAATAATAAATAAAATTTTTTAAAAAGTATTTAGGTTGATAAATTTGGATTAATTACTTAGCCCTTGAGATAAATGTTTACTAATATTTCAGAAGTTCTTATAGTTTTCTCCTTTCTCTTAATATACTAACTCATCATCGTAATTGGGTTAAAAGATCTTTACCTTAAAATTTGGTTATGCCCAACTATATTTTTATTCACATTTCTGCATGATTAGAGTAATTAAGACTATATATGAACCAGGAGTGGAGGCATAGGCCTTTAATCCCAGTGCTTGGGAGGCAGAGGCAGGTAATTTCTGTGCGTTCTAGGCCAGCCTGGGCTACATATTATAACCTTGTCTCAAAAAGAAGAAATAAAAAGAATATATAGGAAATTTTACTAGCACTAAGATATTTGGTTGCCTACTAAGAAAAAGGGAAGCTATCTACTTTATCTCATTTCTGTCCTTTATTGCTAATGTCTAAGTATAGTATACTTGATTTTATTTGATAAGCTAAACTCACTTAATAAAAAAGTGAGTTTAAGTGAGGAGTTATTTAAATTAAAAGTTTTAAACATTACATTTTAATTCCAGCTTAAATATAGATTCATATTTATCTTCTGGTTTGGCTCAAACCTTGATTCTTTTTGTATTAGAAATTCGATTTGAATTCTATTTACATAAGCTGTAATCATAGTCCATCATTTATATTTAGTTTCTTTCAAATAGAGGAAGAATTAAAAGAATATGAAATTTATTTTTTTTGTACAACTTCCCACAGTATTTTATAATCTTTTTGACTGTTTCTAACTGGATAGCAGATGTTTTTGACTCTTGTTGTTTCCAAACTTTGAACTTGTTCCTGTGCATATTCATCAGTGTCTTAATGTGTAACACCCCTCAGTGGCAGATACACATTCTAAAGACTCTCAGCGCATGCTTGAAGCCATAGATACTTCTCTGACCCCCTACGTAGATGCTCTTTACAGCTCCTCTTTGGCATAGGCACTTTGGGGGCATTATTAAGTAAAACAAGAGTCACTTGAACAAGGTATTATATCATGATAACCCAGGAGTCTGCTGACCAAACAGGAAAGTGAAAGTTACAGTGTGGATATACCGAACAAGCAAGTGATTCTTGTCTTCAGCTGAATGGAGCAGAGCAGCAAGATTTCATCATGTTGCTTAGAATAGGCTACAATTTTAAACTTAAAAATTGCTTATTTATTTAATTTCCCATTTATTGTTTTTGGACTATGGTTGACTGCAAGTTGCTGACACTGTAGAAAGCAAAACCATAGAAAATTAAACCTCTTTCAAGGGGAGCCTACTCCATGTACCAAAATTTTGTAATTAAAATCACAAGTACAAATTGCATTAGTTAACAGAAATAGGTTAGATAACAAATGCTATTCATCCTTCATAGCAAATAGTTCATAAGGTTAGCAAAACTGTACAGGCACCCCGAGAGCAGGCCAAAGCCGAGATGATGATCTGCCAGAGCTCAGCATCTTGTGACTCTGTTTCACAGAAAGCATTATTTGGTGAACTTCCTGCTGGCTGTCTTAGAAATGTCTATCTTGTAAAGTGTACCATGCAGTAAGTTAGCTTGGGATGTGTGTTTACATAAAAGATTAGCCTACTTCCATTACAACACTGAATTGGTTTAGCTATAATAAACCAAACAAATAACTTAGTTAGCTTTTACTCAATATTTCTTTTTAAAGGAAGCTCATGGAAATCATTTAGCTGAAGAATTGGGAGCTTCTCAAGTACGTGAAGCTCATTTAGAAGCAAGAATGCAAGCAGAAATCAAAAAATTATCAACAGAAGTAGAATCCCTCAAAGAAGCTTATCGTCTAGAGGTAAAGAAAACTTTTATTTGTGTCAATAGCCCCCACTAGAGTGAGTTGACATACTAGGACAAAAGTATGAGTCTGCTTCTTTAAGTGCATCATAAAAGTGTGATCTGCATTTTGGCTAGCTAAATATATATACCTTGCACTTACTAAGCTAATATGCTCTAGAGTTAAGAGCTTAGTTCCTGAGCCAGGCATCCTGGGTCAATTCTTGGCTCATAACTAAGCACCTGTATGACTTTGGGTAAGTTGTGTAGTTATATAACATCTGTAAGATGGATATAATAATGATATCTACCTCATAGAACTATGGTAAAAAGTAACTTAATTATGCTATGTTGAAGTTCTTTAACCTAGAGCTTGACCATTATCATTTATTATAAAATAGAACTTGTAAAACAACCTCATCTTTGTAAAAACATGTGAAAATATTACCTAAAATCTTTGTATATGTCCTAAATAATACTTACTGAGCTTGGTGCTGATAAAACATTTCTACATACAAGGGCTGTAAATGCATTTTGTATTGCCAGGAATGGTGGCACATGCCTTTAATCCCAGCACTTGGGAGGCAGAGGCAGGTAGATCTCTGTGAAATCAAGGTCTGCCTGGGATGGTCTACACATGTAGCTGGAGCTAAAAAAAGAAAGAAAGAAAAAAAAAATTTAAATAAAAAACACATTTGTATTAAACTTCTCTTGAGTGCTTGGTAACATTTTATGCGGAATCGGGGAGGCTTTTTGTAACTGTGTCTTAAGTGTGTTTAGATTCAGATCTCTTTGAAAACATAGTGCCTGCCAAGCAAAACACATTTTCAAGCTGATCAAATTCTTATACTTTTGTACCCTTGATCTTGAGTGGCAACTATGAATGCTATTGGACTTAAGTAATTATTTAAATAGCTTCTCATCCTGGGTGTGGTGCATACCTTTAATCACAACACTCAGGAGGCAGAGGCAGGCAGATCTCTGTGAGTTCGAGGACAGCCTGGTTAAATATTATTTCCTTAACTTAGTTGCCACTTATAAAAATTAATCCATCTCAAGTACTTGCCATTAACTGTTCATTACACTTTGTTGTGTATGGGTTTTATTATGTTATTAGCTATTTTTTTTCAATTTTATAAACTACCTGAAATTAATTATAACTAGATAGTTCATAAAATAAATTATAAAAAATGGTTCTAGTAGTGCTGTTTACTGTGTGTACTATTCATATCTGAAAATGCATAATTTATACATAAAAATTTTTCTTTTGGTTGTTGATAAAAATTTATTTTTAAGGTGTGTATGTTGTTTCTATATAATATGTGAGGGCAGGGCCAGACATCATTGTGCATACCTGTAATCCCAGCATTTTGGAGAGTAAGAGTGAAGCCAGCTTGGACTACATGAAAGCTTGTCTCAATAAAACCAAAATATATAAATATATGAAATAAAAGGAGTGGATCTGGCATTACAGATAATTTTTAAAGATTTTTAACAGTGGTTTTCTTTATTGTGGAAAATTTTAAACATTAAAATGAATGGAATAATATAAATAGTATAAAACTTCTTATATATTAATCAATTCTAATAATTAACAACTTGTGGCAAATTTCATTTAATCCACAAATCATTTACCATTTCTTTAAAGGGAGTACTTTTTGGAATGAAAAAGAATACTGGCAGTAACTGTGCCAGGAAACCAGGCATAAAACCCAGACAGTTCTAGGCATGTTGGGAAGTATAGTCAATATATAAATTTCCTACCAGGTCCCCAGTAATCACACTTTATTTTGATGCAAATTCTATTTATCAATATTTCCTCTGTAAACTATTCATTAAATATTTCTAATAGAAGGGCTCTGTGAAAAAAAATTCTAATTAACTATAATAGTATTTTCATTCCCCCAAACCAAGGCTATTTCCTTAATACCATCAAATATCCAGTCATTGTTCAGATTTCTCCAGTGGTCTCAAAAATGTCTTTATATTTTATTTATTCAAATCAAGATCCAAATATGATATATATGATATATAACTACTAAGTGAAAGTGAGACTATATGTTCCTTTCTTGCTCCCTTAAATATTCTACTTATTGTGAAATCAAACAGTTAAACATTTAAACTATAAATAGGATTTGCCCTCTTTTAAGGAAAAGTAATTAGTAGTAGCAAATATCAGAATGTGTTGAAAACAATTCCACCTTCTTTCTTTCTTTTCACCATTTTGCGACTGTAAAGGTGCTCTCACATCAAGAGAACCATGCAAAGTGGAAGATTTCTGCTGACTCTCAAAAGACTTCTGTCCAGCAGCTAAATGAGAAGCTAGAGAAAGCAAAACTGGAGCTGGAAGAAGCCCAGGACACAGTCAGCAGTCTACAGCAGCAAGTTCAAGACAGGAATGAAGTCATCGAAGCTGTGAATGAAGCATTGCTTATTAAAGTAGGTGAACACGGAAGAGAAGGGAACCGTATCTGTGAAACTGAATGGCTTGTTTTTCCTGCTCTTATAATTTGTAGGTCTTCATGACAGATTATGTTTAGAAGACAAATGTGGGAAATTAATGTGATATACAGCATATTAACACAAAATAAATAATTTATAAATGTTCAGATATAAATTCATCTATCTATAATGTTTACTTTAGTGGATTTTATACCTGATATACCAAAAAATAAAAGAGTTGAAGCATTTTTGTTTTAAATCTGTAAATTTCCAGGGCTGGAGAGATGGCTCTCCAGTTAAGAGCACTGACTGGTCTTGCAGAGGACCTGGGTTCTGTTCCTAGCACTCACATGGCAGCTACAAACCGTCCTTAACTCGAGTTCCAGGGAAATCCGAAGCCCTCTTCTGGCCTCTGCAGCATTGCATGACATGGGCACTCTCATATACATGCAGGCGATACACTCATACACATGAAATAAAAATAATAAAAATAAAATATTTT